TGTATTTAAAAAAAAAAATATATATATATATATGTATATATATATATATATGTAATATATTTATCAGCTGTTGGTTGAATCCACAATTACAGAACTCGTAGCTATGGAGGGGCAACTGTGTCTTCAGATACAGGTTAGCGTAACTTTGGGAATTCAAGATACTGAATGGCAGAGACTGTATTTTGCTGATAGCCACACAATTGAATAATTACATGTTTCTTTGCCAGAGGAGGCCAAGATGTTGTGCAACTGGATAATTCAGTTTCCTCTAAATAAATAGCAAGTTGCACAGCACTTAAGAGTATTTATTTATTTTGCCTTTCCCCCGTTTAACAATAAGGACTAGCATGTAGGGTTCAAAGTTAGGTGGCCACTTAAGATGAGTGTTCTAATATCTTGGCTTCTGGTAGTACTAACTGAACACCTTTCCGTGGCTGAGACTTCAAAAGAAAAACTGCATTCAGAACCACTTAAGAAGTATTCTTTTATGACTTCTAGAGCCAGAGCACACTGCAAGTCCATCTTGACTTTTTCCCTTTTGGGGATATACTTTATTTTTAATTATCTGGGGTTGTGGGGCAGGGACGAGCACTTGAGTACATGTGTCCATGGAGGCTCAATGCATTGGATGCCCCTGGAGCTGAGGTTATAGACAGTGTTGAGCTAGGAACCAAAGAGGCCCTCTGCAGGAACAGTTCCCTCTTAACTGAGCCATCTCTCCAGCCTCCCCTTCCCCACTGACTTCTAAGTGGACAGTACACATCGTTTGAGCTCATGGATTCTTTTAATATGTGTGTGGTTTTTGTTGTTGTTGTTGTGATTAGCAACTATTTGCATAATGAAAAAATATAAAACTGTTTAATAATTTTTCTCTAAAGAATGCCGTAAAAGTTTAGAGAAGCACGCCAAACATCACTAATCTCTAGCCCATTGCACAGCTTGGCTTAGTTATGTCTGAGATATTTAGCAGGTTTTTTGAGTATAGCTTAAGGAAGGGCTGTATTACAGTTCACTAATGAGTATGTGTATAGTTAATTTTCTAACCATTGAGCCTTCTGTTTTTTCTGTGATGAATAATTCTCTGATGAAAATCTTTGTTGAAAACTTCTTCCCTTTCCAGTTTAGAATATTCTCTGTGAGTAAATTTCTAAAGATGAGGCATCTGGAACAATGCCCCCAATAATCTCCAAGACAGATGGGGCTGTTCTTCACCAAACTTTTTCGTTGTCAGTGTGAAATGTTTGCATTTCTACAGGAGGGAAGGAAATCTGTGTTGGTTGCTGACTCGTGTTTTTATTTTGCACTTTAAACTGATAAGGTCACTTAGCTTTTGACATAAACTAAATCAGGAAGTACCAAAAGAGGCAGGAAAAAAACCCATCCTAGTTGTCTAGTGTCAGGAACTCAGTTTTGAATTCCTCCTGTGAGGTGGGTTAACTCAGGCTTAACTCAGGTAGGCAGAAGGTAAGCCATTGGCCTGCATTTCCTAGTCTGTCATGCTTACACAACAAAGCTTGTGACCTTTTCAGTTTTATTTTTGTGAGGGTCATCAAGACATCGAATACCCAAATGGCTGCTGTGATGTTTGAAGATAATAGGTTTAAAAATTGAGGTTTTGCTCTTTGAATGCTGCATGAGGAGGTCTTGCTTTATTGAAGCTGGTACCTTTGTTGTGTTAATGAACCACATCCATGCTTTGATTTAAAACCTCTGGCTGTCCAGAGAATAAGATGTGTTCTTGCCCTCCACAGTCTTGCCCGTGCTGCCTATCAGCCTTGTATCACCTCCAGACAGGTTGAACCTTATAATTTCCAGCCTGTGTCTGTTAACAGGAACAGTTTAGAATAGTGCTTTAAAAATCCATGCTAGGCAGTTAGAATAAAAAGACCCTAAAGAAAAGTAGCCAGTTTCTTGGCTAAAAGTCACAATGTCCTTGGGCCTCTTAGATACATACTCTGTTCCAAAGGCCAAAAATATTGAAAGTATTTGGGAGCTTTTATCTAATCCTTAAAAGATTTTAGGGTTACGTCTTCAAAGGGGGGAATGTTAGAGTAGCAAAAAGCCCCATTAAAAAATAGAAGAAAGATGCTGGGCGGAAAATAACTTCTGGCACTGTGGCGGACATCTCCTATCATCTGGCTGATCTGCTTTTGCCTCTGGCTGTGTGGAACAGATTGCCAGGATGCTTGGTGAATTTGTATTGGAGACTGTGCAACTTGTAAGTGGTCTCTATTGAGATAGAAGATAGGGATGGCATAGTGAGTTCCAGGACAGCTGGGGCTACAGGGAGACCAAAAAAAAAAAAAAAAAAAAAAAGAAGAAGAAGAAGGAGGAGGAGGAGGAGTACATGAAGTCATCAGAAAAAAATGGTGGGGAGAGATGGGTGGAATTGTAGGGGAGGGAGTGGGCATGGATTTGATCAAAATACTGTACATGCATGTATGAAATTCTCCAATAAATTATTATTTTTTTTAAATCCATGCTAAGGGATAGAGGGATGACCTCTTGCTGCTGTATTGAAAGAGTTAGGATTTCAACACAGGCCTCTTAGGGGCACAAGCATTCAGCTCATACCCCTCGCTTCTGTTTATGTTTATCACCCTGCATTAGAGTCTGTTGATGCTTGCCCATGGTGGACCTTGGTACTTCACAGCATTCCTTCGGGATGAGACTGGAATGGCTGAATGAGGCTCTTTGGTACGCCATTATTTGGAGCTGGCCTTGCATCCATAGGAGCTGGTTGTCTGTACTCTGGTGCTAGTGTAGACCTGGTTCCTTCAGGATGTTGGTCATCTTTGCCCCCGTGTCCCTGTCTAGCATAACAGGTACTTAGTATAGCTTTGTTGAGTGGAATAGTTGAAATAAAGATCCAAGATGGTGGTTCTTAGACAAACCATCTCTCCTCACCAAACTCGCTCATTTCATATAATAAGCTCCCATCAGGGTTTGAAATAGCCCTCAAGTGATGTTGAGATAAATATATCCCTTTGACTGAAAATCAGTGGTTAAAATATTAAGCTATTTTTGGGGTAGAAGAAAAGGTCATGAAGAACTGGGAGGAATACAGGGCCTCTACAAATGGTTCCTCCAGGCCTAGACAGAAGTTGTCTTTCTGGTTCTGAAAAATTAACCTTTGCAGAGTAAATTACTCTATCAATAGGTACACTCTGATCTAGTGTGACTCCTGATAATGCCATAGCTTTGTTTTCTTAAATGAAAACTCAGAATAACCTGTAAATTTGGGTAAAGCTCTTTAGAATCTAAAGGCAAGTAGCTTTCTATTAAGTAAAGCAGAGCCTTCATCCATGGAGGAACGTGGCGAATGTACAATCTTTTGATCTTAGTAAAAGTTCTTCCTGGAACAAAGTCATTCATCAAACATTTACTGAGAATCCGCTGTGTACCAGGCACCATGCTATACTTGAAAGATAGGAGCTTAATAGGATGGAGTGGCCACTTCATTTCCTCTAGAGAGGAAGACGGGAGTGTAGATTATCCCAGCGTAGCTGTAGCAACTTTCTAATCATTATCTAAGTTTGAGAACCTGGAAGACCACCCTCTTTGTATTCCTATTGTTCACTTGTGTGTTTTCTCTTTTACTGATCAGTCTTGCTGAGCATTTGTAACAGTTTTATTAGTATTTGATTTTATAGGTTTTCTGTAGATAAACAGTTTCTGCCCTCAATAGCTTGTAGTCGCTCTTTAATTTTCTGCTTCTCCCTTCCCAGATGGATGCATGCAACATCGCTTTCAGCTTTTTTTTTTTTTACAACATATGCTTTTTAGCTATAAATCTCCATCTAATTATGGCTTAAGTCACATCTTACTATTTTTGATATATTTTTATAATCATTCAGTTAAAAATATTTTGTCTTTGCTGTAGTTTCTTATTTGACTCATTGGTTTAAAAGTGATTATTTCTGATAACAATATTGTTGATTCCAAAGTTATAATAAAACCAAAAGATCTTTTATGTATTTTTTAAATTATGTCTATGTGTGCTTTGGTGCAGGGAATGGGGTGTTAGAGGTCAGGGGACAGCCCCAAGTATCCTCCCTTAGAAGCTGTCTACCTTGGTTTGTCTTCTTTTGAGACAGGGTCTCTCACTGGCTTGGAGCTTGCCAAGTTGGCTAGGCTGGATGGCCAGTGAGTTCAAGGGTCTGTCTGTCACCATCTCCTCCATGCTGGAATTATAAGAATATGCCACCATGCCTGGCTTTTTATGTATCCAACTCAGGTCCTCCTGCTTGTGAGGCAAATGCTAGGACTGAGCGGTCTCCTCAGCCCCAGAGATCTTAAAGTCTGTATGACTTTTCTCCTTCTTTACGTGTTGGTTTTGTACATCAAATTTTGATCACGGTTTTGCAGTTTATGCTTCTGCATATTTTTGTCAGTATGCTAATTTCCCTTTAGGACTGTGAGTTGGACTATTACTTTAATTCTTGCAGTTTTTGTTTGGTGTCTGTTGAGGCTTGTCACTTGCATATGCATTGAGATTGGTTAAGTACATGTGATTAACTCTTTGACTCTGATGCTTCTTAATACTTTCTGTAGTCTGAGTGGAGAGTTCTGCTGGCCTTCTGCTCACATGACCTTTGTCCAGGACATGGGTGGTGGTATGAGGGATAGATTCTCTTCCTCTTGTAAGACCACCGAGCCTGTTGACTTAAGGCCTAACCCTTATCATCTAATTTAACCCTAGCTAGTTCCTTAGAGGCTCCATATCTAAATACAGTTAGTCATGCTGAGGATTGGGGCTTCAGTGTGTGAATTTTAGGAGAACACAGTTCATTTCCTGGCATTATATAAGGCAGATCCCCTCAACTTAGCATGGGGTTTACATCCCTTTTGTAAAGTCATAAATTGTGATGTCAACAATCATAAGCCAGGGACCAACTGTACATTATAGTACTTTCAGTAGTTACCTGGCACTTAGAATTAATTAATACTACTGTGTGATAGAGGTCATTTTAAGCACATTTCCCTGTTTTCTTTCCTAGGTGCTGACTTTGGGTCCCTCTTCAGAACACGAGGAGTGCTATTTTCTACTTTTCGGGACCTCAGACCAAGGAGTTAAAAAGAATCTATGTGAATAAACTGTCCTGTCCAGTGCTGTCCTTGTCCATCTGAGAACTTGGTTATTTCACCATATCTGAGGCGTGTCCAGAGCAGTCACTATGAATGTGACGAGTTTATTTTCATTCACAAGTCCAGCTGTAAAGAGACTTCTGGGGTGGAAACAGGGTGATGAAGAAGAGAAATGGGCAGAGAAAGCTGTGGATGCTTTGGTGAAAAAACTGAAGAAAAAGAAAGGGGCCATGGAAGAGCTGGAAAAGGCCCTGAGCTGTCCAGGACAGCCTAGCAACTGTGTCACCATCCCCCGCTCCCTGGACGGCAGACTGCAGGTTTCCCACCGGAAGGGATTGCCTCACGTCATCTACTGCCGTGTGTGGCGTTGGCCTGACCTCCAGAGCCACCATGAACTGAAACCACTGGAATGCTGTGAGTTTCCTTTCGGTTCAAAACAGAAGGAGGTCTGCATCAATCCCTACCACTATAAGCGAGTGGAAAGCCCTGGTAAGTGAGTCCTCTGTGCCGATGGACTTTGTGCGCTCAGCAGGCCCTGTGTAAATAAGCGCAAATGCCTCTTTTAGTTATGTGTTCATTACTTTTCTATTGCTGTGACAGAATACCATGACCAAAGGCAACTTACAGAAGAGTTTATCTTGGCTTAGGGGTCAAGAGGGAGAGTCCATAGTGGCGGTGGGGAGGTCATGGCAGCAGGTGGCAGGAGCAGGAAGCTGGCTGGGCACATTTCCATCCACAGGCAGGAAGCAGAGAGATGGAGCAAGAACTGGAGTGAGGCTATAAACCCTCAAAGCGCAGCCCCAGTGATGTACTTCCTTCAGGAAGGCTTCACCTCCTTGAGGTTCCATCCCGTCCCCAAACAGCATCACCAACTAGTGGCCAAGTGTTCAAATATGTGAGCCTATGGGGACGCTTCTCATTCAGACTTCCACAGTTGTGACTCTGAAATATTCCAAGAAATTTTGTATGTATACTATAGAGAATGAGAGAGAGAGAGAGAGAGAGAGAGAGAGAGAGAGAGAGAGAGAGAGGAGAGAACCTGTATGTTAGCCTTCTATCATAATAAATACTTGAGATCACTTTATAAAGAGAAAAGGTTTACTTTGGCTCATGGTTTAAAAGTAGCAGTCCGTGGTCCATGGGCTCCAGTGCTTTGGACCTGTGACAAGGCCTCACTCCTCGGTGTGGAGTGGGCGGCAGAGCAAAGCTTACCCCCAAGAGGAAGAGCTGCAGGCTGACTGTCCTCTTCAGTGACTGGAAGACTTCCATCAGGCCCTACCACTTAAGTCTTTGCCACCTCCCAGTAGTGCTGCTCTGGGGACAAGCCTCCAATACTTGGGCATTTGGGGTACATTGCGAGTCTAAGCTATGGTAGCCCTTAAGTATTTCATGCATGCTAACAGCCTACTCCTCTCTAAGTAACTTTATTTCTTAGGAGCAGGTTGTAAAGATTGCATTTGTTTATGAATTGTTTCATGTTGGTTCTGTTCATTTTGTGAACAAATTAGCTGTGAAATGAAATGGATGAATGGGAAAAGTAGCACACAGCATTACCTGCCATGGGTGTGCTTAAAGGGAGTGCAGTGTGGGACGGCTAGGAACTTGTGCCACTTTTTATCATCCATGGTAGAAGTGTGTTGTGACTTGTTCCCTGCGGGGAACACGAAGGAGTTATGGTCTGTGTGAAATGACTCGATGCTATCATAAAGTAGCCCTTGTTTTTGTGTGTGTGACATTTGTGTTTGATGATATATAGTACATCTCTTGAATCTGTGAATTCTTCATCCATAGATAGACTCACCGTGAGATCAAAACTCCTGGGAAAAGAAATTGTGTTTTACTGAGCATATACAGACTTTTCCATTTCTAAACAGTAGAGTGTAATAACTCTCATAGCATTTATAATGTGTTAGAGTAAGTCATTCAAAAATGATTTAGGGTACAGGGCGTACGTGTACACAGGTTCAGTACAAATACAATGCCATTTTATATAAGGGACTTGAGCTTCCTCAGATTAGGTAATCTGAGGGCAATTATGGAACTAATCTCCCACAAGTACAAACAACTATATCATGAATTTATATAGTTAGTTCTGCCTTGGAGTTTGATTTCACATCTAGACAGTTGGACCAATTGGGAAGTGAAACACCACCCAGTTTAAGGAATAAAAAAAGGACATATGCTAGCCGGGTGTGGTGGTGCACGCCTGTAGTCCCGGCACTTGGGAAGCAGAGGCAGGCGGATGTCTGTGAGTTCAAGGCTTTCCTGGTCTACATAGTGAGTTCCAGGCTAGCGGGGGCTGCAAAGAGACCCTGTCTCAAAAAGACCATTCAAAAAAAAAAGAACATATGAACTAAAACCCTGTTTGTGTCCTGATTACATTCCTGCTAGTAACCACCACTGTGAATTTGATATTTTTCTCCATGCATATCTTATACTAATATATTTGTATAAATTCATAATATATAATGATATGTGTATATATATATATATATATAGTGTGTGTGTGTGTTTTATCTGCATGAATGTAAGTGCACTCATGTCATGCAATGCTGGTGGAGGCCTGAAGAGGGTGTTGGATCCCTGGAACTAGAGTTTTGCACAGGTGTTAGCTGCCATCTGGGTGTTGGAAAAAGAACCTGGGTCCTCTGTAAGAGCAGCCAGTACACATAACTGCTGATCCATCTCTCCAGCTCTCATTTTATATTTTAGACTTTTCTTAAACAGATTGTTGTATTCAGTCAGTGTTATGCTTTGTGATTCTAGAGTAAACGTTTTTAGGATTGCCTTGTCTAGGCCTGTGAAGAGCCCTCTGTGTTTGTTGGAATTTTACTTGGGAAGGATTGGTTTAATTATGCTCTCACACATTGTGTTACTCTAAATTTTCTCCATAGCACTTTTTGCACATTTTTTAGATTTGTTTCCAGATGACCTTTTATTGTATCCTTTTAAAAGTTATACTGTAGCCAGGCTTTTATGGGAGGTGATACACACCTTTCATCTCAGCACTCAAGAGGCAGGGGCAGGTGGATCTCTGTGAGATCAAGGCAAGCCTGGTCTACATAGAGAGTTCCAGGCCAGCTGGGGCTACAGGGAGACCCTGTCTGAAAAAGCAAACAAACAGAACGTTACAGTGTTCCAGGCTGCTCTGCACTAGGACTTTGCCTTTTCCCCAGTGCCATTGCTGGGTTCCCATTCACTCTAACAGTGACATTCTTTCCTGTTTGTTGTACCAGATGGGATGTTGGCTTTGCTTTGTTTTAGAAAAGGCTCATTATATAGATACACGCTTAAATTGAAATGGAGACAAGAGTCTCAGAGAATAAAAAGTGATGTATCAGTAATATGTACATCTTAGATTATTTTGGTGCATGTGCTTTGGTTCCCTTGTGACTCTGAGGGGTCTGTCAGGAAGAGGTGAATGCCATCCAGACGATGAAACAGACTCCTCCAGATTGAGTGACTTCTGTGCCAGACATCTGGAAAGCAGAGGCAGTTGAGCATGAGAAGTATTCTGACACCAAAATTCACTATTAGAAAGCTCTGTGGATATTCACTTTTTGCACCTACCTCCCTTCTGCGGCAGCCTGCCTGCCAGTATGTCACCCTCTCTGTTGCAGCTCCCTCTTTGGACTCATGATCACTGTAGAACATGATCTTTAAAGATGCAGATACGATGGCAGCATCCCTGTCCTGTTCTTTTATAGAGCTCTGCCCATTCAGGTGCCTGCCTCACTACCTGGAACTCCTTCCTCCTCCCTCCATCCAGTTATTTCTCTTTCTCCTTCAAGTCTAAGTTCAGTAGAAGTCAGTTTAATTATGACTCTTTTAAAGAATTTTAAATTTATTTTTATTTTTATGTGTATGAGTGTTTTACCTGCATGTATTTAGCAGTGCCATATATGTGCAGTGCCCATGGAGGCTAGGAGAGGGATTTGTGATTCCAGATCCCCTGGAACTGGAGTAAGGAAGGTTGTTAACTGCTATGTGGGTGTTGGGAACTGAACCTGGGTTCTCTGTAAGAGCAGTTAAGGCTTTTAGCCACTAAGTCATCTCTCCAGCCCTTGGGATGCTGTCTTGGCTTGGCCTTTTCTATCCCCCACAGAGGTTATACCTTTCTTATGGTAATCTGAATTTCTTCATATGTTCTTCACAGCCATTTACAGTTCTGATGATCTTCTCTGCAAGGAGAGTGAATGATGAAAACCCTGTAGGGCAGGCACCGTGTGTACCAGCGTCTCTGCTCAGCAGCTAGCACAGTGAAACTAATTTTGGCTGTTTACTGAAAATGCTGTTCCTAATTTATCCATCTTTTCAGAGATGAGTTTTCAGTCTGTACCCTTTGAAAAAATTCTCTTCACTTTGGTCATTTCATTGCTGAGATCAGATAAAAAGTAAAGCCAAGCTGGGCGTGGTGGCGCACGCCTTTAATCCCAGCACTCGGGAGGCAGAGGCAGGTGGATCTCTGTGAGTTCAAGGCCAGCCTGGTCTACATAGTTCCAGGACAGCTGGAGCTACAGGGAGACCCTGTCTCAAAAAAAAAAAAGGTGAAGCCATTCCTGACATGACTCTGTTACTGTTCGTCCCTTGGATGCTCTGATAAGAAAGGCCTGATGAGGACGTACAGGACCGGCCAAATGCGCATTCTGCAGCCCTTCTCAGCGTCTGTTCGGTCTCCTCTTTAGTCAAGACTCTGTGAGCCATTCATAGGACAGTTCTAGGAAACTTTGGGGGATAAGGCTCAGATCTGTTTAATATAAATATACCAAGGTTTTTACTTGTCACTTCTCCGTGGGGAGAACATCAAAGGCCATGCTTAGCAATCTTGACTGTGCAGTCTGTGGTTAACTGTAGTCAGCATGCTATGCAAGTGATCAGCAGCACTGTTCCTCTGGCTTTGACCAATATCACAGGGTTCCCCTGCACCTTCCATCAGCCTCTGATAACAGCCATTATATTCTCCACCTTTCTTATTTTATGTGTGTGAGTGTATTGCCTGCATGTAAATGCACCTGTGCCTGCAGAGGTCAGAAGAGGGCATCAGATCCCCTGGAGTTTCGGACAACTGTTAGCTGCTGTGCGGATGCTGGGAATTGAACTCAAGTCCTAACCTCTGAGCCACCTCTCCAACCCTCTCCACCTCTTTTAGATTCCACGTGTCAGATCATATGACACAGTCATGAGTTGCTGTGATATTGATAGACATGTTAATGTCAGTGAGCCTTTGGTTAAGTGTCTAGGCAAACCAAACTGCATTGTCCCAGTGAAGTTCTCTTTGAAAAGATGTAGTGATTTAGACTCAAAAGAGTTGTGAGCATTTTGAATTTTGCATATTCTAATACAGACAGAAAACTGACTTGCTCTTCCCAGACTTTTCCTTCTGATAATTGTTAAGGCTTGCCCTCCATGTTGAGTTGTCTTTAAGTGGGTGGGGAGAAGGGGAGAAAGGCATTCTGGGCTCATTTGGCTCCATGAAAATTTTGTCATTG